TATATATATATATATATATATATATATATATATAATTTTTTTTTTTCCATAAAGTAACAAAAATATATTTCTGAATCAAAGCTTTGTTCCAGTTGTCACACAGGCACATTTATTAATAACAGCTGTAACTGTACATAATAAATGTCTAAAAATTAAAACTATTTACATATATTAAAAGTTTGTTTTTAAAGGCATTTACTTACATATACAAGTACAAGTTTCAAGACATTTGATAATGTCCACAGAAAAATCAAAGCAAATATGTTCTAATTTTTAATATTTCACCCAGTTTTACGGCACATTGATTTATTAATAAATCGGTAAAATCGGTTTCTCTTACACAAAATGAAGGAAATCGGCACTAGATTTATCGATAAATTGGCCGGCCGATTTATCGGTGCAGCCCAAGTAAAAAGTTTTGTTCCGAGTTGAGTTAACAAAATTTGATGTTTTCTGTGCAACCAAATAGCATTTACTGACTTTTGTTTTTATGTAAATTCAATGACAAAAACATAACAAAATATATATTTTTTTTGTTTAGAGTTGTGTTCATTACTTCAGAAAAGAGTTACAACAAAGAATAGTAAAACGGTTTCATATACATCGCACTAAAAAATATGGAAATTAGGCAAGTATATCAATTTCAAAAAAACTTTGGGTCAGATTCCTATTTAAGTTTAAATATAAAGTTCATTTGAATCCAGCCCCATTTTTATTAAATTATCTCAAAGTTCCATAATTCCCATGGAAAGTTTCCAATTTGGAGCATTTTTTAAATTCCCCAGTCTAACATCACACAGTTTTATGAAAGAAAGAAGAAAAATTTTTTAAAAAAATCGGAAAATTACCGGACGTTTCTTCGTCTGCAACAGATCGCAGGCAACACTTGTAAAGGTTTGAATTCTGAGACGATGAAGTAAATTTAATTTACCGGCTGTTACGGAGTAATTATTTGACTTTATATTTCAGTTTCAAATTTGGCTCCAAATAATCTCAAAATTTTGTGATTTTTTGACAATCTCTGTCAGAAGCACTTCTTTCTGCGGCATCATTCATCTTTCCTCACGAAGATGTTTCAGGAAATTCACGGTTCTTAAAACACAAAACTGACGTGTTTAAGGTGTAAACTCAAGTCTGAGAAGTTTCTGGATTTTTTTTTTTCTTCAACTTTTACACATTTTAAAAACTTCATTTATTAATATTTTAACCATTAAAATACATAGACATTTAAAACTCCTTAAAATATTATTTCTGAACTCTGATTCAGCATACTTTCTCTTTGGTCTCCTTGTGCTAATTTTAGCTTTTAGCTACTGTTCTGCTACATTTAGAAGGCCTATTGCTACTCTGAGCCTTTAGCCACGTTTAGCTTTTAGCTACCATTTTCTACTTTTACTATATATATATATATATATATATATATATATATATATATATATATATATATA